TAGTGAGTTAAAAAAGGGGAACAGATTTGTATGAGATTTCTTTTCGTATAAATATGCTCTAATTATCGAGAAGTACGCCTTCCTCTTTTGCAAATATATCCTATCAGAAGTATATAAAATGTGGATATCTTTAAAACAGGAGCAGCTAGGATTTCAATTTAAGCGGATTCTTAACCTTAAGATATCAACAAATACAACCCTGCTTTCAGATTTTGTCGACATTTTTGTGCAACCTATCTTCGCTTCCTGCCCACCGTGTGCAGTAATACATTTTTTGGAGCGCAAGGACGACTGGGTATGCAAAATGTCCATTACAAATTTGCAATATATATATATATATATTTTTTAATTATTGTTTGAGGAATTTCGTCGTGTAAACTTTATTAACTTAAAAAGACTAAATTTATTAAAAGCGCATTTTTAATACCTATTCGTTCTTGTAAACCAAAAAGCGTTCCTGTATTTAAATGCTACAGAATGTTTTGTCTTATTTTGTACCCATATTGTTATTCCACATTGCACTGATTTAATTTTTAAATAATTTTTTGAATTAACCGGATATTTAAAATTTCAAAGTCCTTTGAAAAAAATCCTAACGTCAGGTCGAAAAATTAAAAAAAGAAATTTTGCTATATTTGGCCCTTAGTTTTGTGAGTATATCGATTCTTTCGTGTGTTTTGAAATTTGTTTGTTTTTGCCGCACGGTATAATTAATAAAAAAACAATTTTTCATGAAAATAATTGTGAACGTTATATTAGAACGAGGTGTGCACTTTCATTTGTCGCCTAGTGTATATACATATCTAACGTTCTTATGTAAGTACACCTATATCTATATATGTAGTTACATGTTGTTTTGCAATAATCTTATTGTATACCTTTACTCAACACGCATGTCCTCAATGTCTGCTATAATCCTTTGAACTTTTCTAAATATTTTTTGTTGTGTATGTGCGCTTTATTTTTAGTTTTTTTTTCATTGATATCCTATTGTTGTATTTCCTTTAGGATGCGCTTATGTGCAATACTCGTGGGTATTGTGATGATTTCACATTTCGTGTATAGTATATACATACATTCATAGATACATACATGCATTGTACATACATAGGCATGTGTATATATGTAAGCGCTCTGTGCGCAGTTTAGATTAATTTTGATTTTCCTTTCATGTTTTTATTTTAAAATTGAAATGTAAATTTCTTTTCTTTTATTTTCAGGGAAGACTGTATGACGCGTTTGCATCGCTTTTTGCGTGATCAACAATTCGAAAAGGCGATTACTCTACTTCGCGCCGCTAGGTAAGTGTGGCTTTAGTTTAAATGTTTAAGTAAGTAGAGAAAATTGTACCCCGCATCCTAGCAATATCTAACAAAGGGTATTTATGCCAACAAAGAGCCTCTAAAAAATTTCACCTACCGGTCGGCTTAAGACTATGTATTTGTTTGATCTCAAGACGCATATTAAAAATTGGACACTTGGAACAAATTTCAGCGCCTAGTATCTATAGTTTTTATTAGTTTCTTAAAAATTAAAGTCAAATTTAGTTGCATGCCGTCGATTACACACAATAGAAAGTTTGAGCTCTTAATCTTTCTTAACTTTTCCAAACACTGTACACGAAAGCGGTCCAAAAGTAGATTGATAAATGAACCTTTTTCTGGGTATAACAGTGGGAAAATGATCTAATTTACTTAAAAGGTAGAGAGCGTCTAACTTCTTCTTCTTTGTCGCTGTAACCGCCTAAGCGATTTTGGCCGAGTTCAGCAAAGCACGCCAGTCGTTTCTCTTCTGTGCCAACTGACCCTAATTGGAAATGCCAAGTGAAGCCAAGTCCTTCGCCACCTGGTTTTTCCATCGCAGTGGGGGCCTCCCTCATCCTCTGCTACCACCAGCAGGTTCCGAGTTTAATACTTTCAGAGCTGGAGCGTCGGTGTCCATTCGAACGACTTGGCCAAGTCAGCGGAGCCGCTGTATTTTAGTTCGCTGCACTATGTCCATATCGTTGTAAAGCTCATACAGCTCATCGTTCCATCATCTGCGATACTCGTTGCCGCCAACACGTAAAGGCGCGTAAATCTTCCTCAAAACCTTTCTCTCAAATACTCCAAAAACCGCCACATAGGTTGTTGATTGTGCAAATTCGGCTCCTATTTATTTACCCAACTGACATTCTATTGCCATCTGTAATCGACCCATAAACAGCATATCCATTATTAACGAAATTTGGACCAATTTACAGGTACGACATTATTTATCTGGGCGACGAAATATTTAATAAAGGACTAGCTTATACCCGCGGGTTTCACGCCACGTTTTTATACGAATATGTAAAATTATTTAAAGATGGTATATTTTATTTCTGTGCCCATTTTGTTATAGCTATTTTGTTATAATATACACTGAACCAAAAATCCATCTCTGTATCAAAGAAAAACTAAAAAATTCTCCCGAATGCGTAATTTTTCTTTGGAATGTGTAAAAACGTACACGAAAATATGGGACCTTGGATGTAATCTATCATTTTGAAGAAATATTGGGCATGAAAAGAGGATAAAACTTCTTTAGTGCTGTTTCGTTCCCATTTTTCTTCATTTTGATTGCTTCTTTTCTTCAATTAAGAGAAGTTTTTTTTGGGTGTATGTAAGCGAGTTAAGTTATTTAGGGCGTTTAAAACTATGAAATTAAAAAATCTCGTCTGCACGCTAGGCATCCGACAAATTTCAATCGCTCTAAGTTTACCTTAAAATGGTTCCAGGGATACGCTGCGTGAGCGGCGCGTTCTTAATATTTCCAGCTCAAATTTAGTAATCTTGAATTGTTTCTACTATTTTGAAGAATGATAATTCCAGCTCTTTGACCGGTAAAACTCTATTTTTCATATTTGTTGGTTTAATAAATCTACAAATATATGCGAGTATGCGTAACACTTTTGAATTACAGGAGCAAGACTCAATAACTTGGTATATAATTTTTGGCTCATTTTCGACGACAAGTGCTATAGCTTTCGACTTTCGAACTTCCAATGTTTTGACTTTGTCTGAAGCCATGAAATGCGAATTTTTTGGCCATTCTTCTTCCTTTTTACGTAAAAATTGTGGTCCGTTAAACCAAATGGACTTCTGTAGTTCATCAACATTACAACTGTGAGATACAATGTCAGCCGGGTTATGAGCTGTTGGCACATGACGCCAACTAGCTGAATTTGTGTGACCTTGAATATCAGCTACGCGATTTTCAACAAATGTCGAAAGCGCTGCTGGGTGCTTTTTTAGCCAGGCCAACACGATTTCAGAGTCGCTCCAAAATACTACTTTTTCAGCAGTTGAAACTACTATGGGAGCGACAGATTTCCATAAGTTAGCTAACAAATGAGCAGCACATAACTCAAGCCTTGATTTGGCAGTTAGTAGTATTGTTTCGATGTTTCCTTGGTGCTCGTTTCGTATGTATAAACAACAGCCGTATGCACGCATAGAAGCATCTGCAAAACCATGTATTTGAATTTTCGACAACAAACGTATGCCTACGAAACGAGGCACTTTTATTTCAGAAAGCTTCTTAAAGTTTTCTATAAAAGCTGTGCCAGCTTGTCTGTAGTGCCATGGGAATTGTTTCCTCCCAATCCAACTTATGCAATCACAGTTCTTGCAAAATTATTTTGGCCCTTTCCATTTTATTCCAAAATATTGGATGTGTGAATAATTCGCACGGATAAGCTGGTATTACTTAGAAGGACTCTGTTCTATCGAGGTTTCACTGTACTTGTGTATACGTTGTGTATTATCAGTGCATTTTAAATTCTCTACTTATTTTAAGTGCATCGGTTCTCATATAAATCCGCGCTTAACTTCCATCCAATTTTTCACCTTATTTTACATTCTTTCTTCACCTTGCTCCTAAATTTACACAAAGGCATTTGGCGTAATAAATTAACTTGGTTCGTGAAGAAATTCGAGGCAGCAGCTTTTGTGCAAATTTTCTCTATTACGTACTTTTAGTGTCTTCATACATAGTACGCTATCAATGCCACTACTCTGAATCGCAAATATGTATGTGATGGTGACTGTGTTTGAGCGTGTGCGTGTGTATTTATGTATAGCTACCGCTTTCGGTCTGACACTCAATACTCTACCTATTACCTGTAGTCCTGTGAAATTCCTTTCTATTGGCCGTCCTTTGAATGCAATCCGCAACCATAAAATATGCTTACCGCATTCGTTGCAGGGCAACCAACCGACTAGCGACTAGTAGCTAAAGCGCCTTGGCGTTGTGGTACTACTATTAAAGTAAGTATAAGCGTAATGATATTGAGCTTGAAGCAGATTATTCAATAGCAGCTGCAAGGATGGCGTTTCTTCGGCTATACATAGGGTTTCATTGTCATGGCTATGGTTTATTAAATATTTAGTTAGTATTTATAGGTAAATTCCTGTAAGAAAATTCCAGGATTTAAAGAAAAACAGGTATTTTTACATCTAAATTATCCCAAAAATTTGGTGAATATGACAGCTGCGTATATTGTTGCCTGCTGGACAGTGCCTTAATGGTATGTACATATGTATGTAGGTAGCTAAATAGACAGCCGTTGCCTAGGCTTATTATGAGCTTATTCGCTGTGAGGCATTTGCCATATCCTATTCGTATATTTAACTTTTTCTACAAACTTTACTTAAGTATTAAAGAGCATCATTCATTTCATTTGCGAAATTAATATTATATAAATTAAATCAAATATACGCCCAATACACTTACACTACGAAAACGAAAATTAATTTATTTAATTCTCGCGCAAACCTATTTTTTAACATCCATGCATCTATGAAAATTAATTTTCACACAAAAATGCGACGGCCTTGCTTCTTCTAAGAATTTTTTTTTTTGTAATTTTTTATATTACAAATATGTATTTTAGTTTGTTTGCCTTTCATAATAAACAATTATCAGTTTACTGTCATATTCGAGTGCTAACACATTTTTGAAATATTAGTTAAAATTCAGTTCTTTAATGGAAATGTATACATACATACATATGTACACATACAATGTATATGTATAACTACTACCGATTCATCTAAATTATTTATCCTCTTGCCTGCAATACGCTTTTTACTCGATTTATGTTAAATTTTTAATTTGAGTGGAATTTTCGATTTACATTTTTCCTCTAACTATTTCTCACACTATTTTGATTTACAACAATAATAACCTCCGAATTCCCTTTTTAACGATGACAAACGATGATACATAATTTTATTTTCAGTTATTTTTATCAAGTGAAAAAAATTTGATGTGTGATGAATGTTTTTATATTTGAGTTTTTTTTAGATATATTTAATTTACATAATTAACAAAGGAGTTCGGTTTGATAATTTTTGTATAAAAATCACATACATACAGTGACTCAAAGGAATGACCACGTATTGTTTTTTATTTAAATATTCGTAATATTTTTGCAGCGATTTTTTTTTTGTTATTTTTATATAATAATATCGTTTAAGCTCTAAACAAAGCCGTGTAAATCATAGTTTCTAATTTTATACAAAATTTAGGAAAATTCAACAAATTTTCATCAAAATTTCAATTTTGTATTCTGAATTTTTTTGAAAATTTGGGTATGCAGCCCAATTTTCAAACGGATGAAAAATCGCGTCGATTTTTGATAGTTTTTTTTTGGAGGCTACTTTTTGGGTTTCGTAATATAGCAACTGCAATTTGCAAAAACTTGAGTTGATATTTTGAAATGTTGTTGCTGACGGTCTTTCGCGTTTTATTTCATGAAAAATTCATAATTATGTGAAAAAAGTTCAAAAATCCGTCCCCAAAAACTAGTTCTCAAAAATCAACGCGATTTTGTAGCCGTTTGAAACTTGCACTTTATTAGACTGAAATGGTATGGGCTATAAAATTGCATACCCAAAAATTGTTGAATTTTTCCTAAATTTTGTATAAAGTTTGAAACTTTCATTTTCACTGTTTTGGTTAAAGCTTAGACGATATTTCTATATAAAAATAAACAAAAAAAATTTAGCTCGACAAACATAACGAATATTTGAAGAATATTAACACGTGGTCATTTCCCAGCAAAAAATCGGTAATCGCTTTTAGTGTTAACGTGTTCTAGAAAGCATAGCGTTATAATGCCTTCGAATTTTTTCGCTTCTGCAAAGTAGAATGTCCTACAATATTTTTTTTTAATTCGCTTCTTTGCTTAATTTCGGGGAATGCAGAGCAGAATGCTGCATCCTAGTCAGCTGAAAAATAGAATGAATATCCAAATATTCTTTTTCTACCGTTACTTTCTGT